CATGGCTGACACGTGGCCATGGCCAACGCAACAACTTGGCCAACACAACAGCATGGCTGACACGTGGCTATGGCAACGCAAGACCATGGCTGACACGTGGCCATGGCCAACACCATGGCCAACACAACACCATGGCCAACATGTGGCCATGGCCAACAGCATGGCCGACACGTGGCTATGGCAACGCAACACCATGGCCAACATGTGCTCCCGGTCAACACAACAACTTGGCCAATGCATGACCGCAGCTGACGGTGGCCACGGCCAATGCATGCCAACCCTCCAGCCCCTCCCCGCAGCCTCCAGGAACCTGGACAAGCCACACCACGTGCCTCCCCACACTTACATGTGTGCGTGGGCTTGTCGTGCACGGACTTGGTTTTGAAGGGCAGCTCGGTCTGGATGTAGGCCTTGTGCTTCACCTCAGGGTGGGGACCCAGGCGGTCGTCCTGCAGCGGCCGTTTGGTGGCCAGCGGTGTCAGGAAGGCGCCGTGGGGCTTGGCGGTGAGCGGCGACAGCGAGAGCTCGCGGCCGATGCTGGAGCCGCCGGGTTTCCCCGTCCTCCCGCCCAGTGGAGGCAGGGCCATGGCCTGCAGCACTTTTCCAGAGGGCTTGGGGTCCATCCCCTCTTCCCCAAAGCCTTTGGGGGTTTCGATGATGGAGGTGTGGGGCTCCTTCTTGATGACGCAGGGCTTCGATTTCTTCTTGAGGATCTCGCGCAGCGTGTCGATGGGGGAGCCGTTCACCGACCACTCCGTCACCCCCATCTGGCGCAGGTGGGAGCGCGCGTGGCTCGACAGACCCTTGCGGTTCTCAAAGAACTCCCCGCAGAACTCACAGCGGATGTCCCGCACCGGGTCGGCTCGGGAGGCTGCAGGGAGAGAGCTGGCGTCAGGGGGAGCGGGTCTGAACCCACCTGCCCCCATATCCCACAGCACAACCCACAGAAGATGATCCATGAGCAGATCCCACAGCACCGTGCTTCCAGCTGACCCCAAAGTACCCGAAGAGAACAGCACCCATCAGAGAGCTCTTGGGTTGGAGGGGTCTTTAAAGATCATAGGGCCATAGAAAGGGTTGGGTTGGAAGGGTCTTTGAAGATCATAGAGCCATAGAATGGGTTGGAGGGGTCTTTAAAGATCATAGGGCCATAGAATGGGCTGGGTTGGAAGGGTCCTTGAAGATCATAGAAATACAGAACCCTGGAACGGGTTGAATTGGAATGGTCCTCAAACATCAGAGAACCATAGAAAGGGCTGGGTTGGAAGGGATCTTACAGATCTTAAAGCCATGCAATGATAGAAGGGATTGGCCTGGAAAGGACCTTGAAGATCACTAAATGATAAGAAGGGGGTGGGTTGGAAGGATCTGTGAAAATCACCATGGAATGGGCTGGGAGGGACCTTAGATCCCACATCCCCCTCCCCAGCACGGCGTGTGCCCGACCCCCACCAGCCCACAGGAGGGGGAAGGTGACAGCCACGCACTTACAGAGGTTCAAGGGTGACATCTCCTCCAGCGGCGGCCAAGCCTGGTCGGAGGGATGGGGCTCCCCGTGGAGACCCCCCGTCATCATCTCACGCTTGATCTCCACTCTCATCTGGTCGTGTTTGAGCTTCTTCTGCAAGGAGGGAGGAGAGAGGCCTGGAAACATCTTCCGGGCAGTGGGAGGCGGGGACGAGGTAGGAGAGTGGCCCAGGGGACTGCCGGGCTGCTGGACCTTCTTGGGCAGAGTCGGGATGTGGAGCTCGCCGGGACCCCGCGGCTCCAGGGGTCCCATGGCCGCCAGGAGGGTCTTGGCCATGGCTTTGTGCCCGGGGCCCATGGGGTTGGAAGCTCCGCTCCGAGGGTGAGTTCGGCGCTTGAGGATCTCGCGCAGCGTGTCGATGGGGGAGCCGTTGACGTACCACTCCGTCACCCCCATCTGGCGCAGGTGGGAGCGTGCGTGGCTCGACAGACCCTTGCGGTTCTCAAAGAACTCCCCGCAGAACTCACAGCGGATGTCCCGCACCGGCTCCCCCCCAGCGGCTGCAGAGGAGGTAAAAAAAGAAAAGAGAGAACTGTGGTTACTGGGAACGCGAGGGTGGAGTTTGGTGGTGCCAAGGAGCCGAAGGCGTGCGAAGCCAACAAAGTCCATCCTCAGTGGGAGGCAAAGAGCGGGGCTGAGCCCAAAGCAGGCACCGCACAGAGCCCGTCCTCAGTGGGACTGGAAAATGAACTCAAAGATGTGCACCCAACAAAGCCAGTCCTCAGCGGGACTCCAAAATGAGCAGGGCTGAACTCAGATACCAACCCAACAACAAAACCAATCCTCAGCAGAACTCTGAAGGGAACAGGAACCCAACCCAAAGATGTGAGCAGTGACAAAACCGGTCCTCAGGGGGATTCCAAAGGAAGCAGGGCTGAAACCAGATCTGCACACCCAAAGCCAGTCCTCATGGGGACCGAGAAGCAAAATGGACTGAACCCAAAGCACTGCGCAATGAAATCCATCCTCAGTGGGACCCACAGGGAAGAGGACTGAACCCAAAGCACTGTGCCCAATGGAATCAATCCTCAGTGGGACCCAAAGGGAAGAGGACTGAACCCAAAGCACTGAGCAATTAAATCCATCCTCAGTGGGATCCAAAGGGAAGAGGACTGAACCCAAAGCTCTGTGCGCAATGGAATCCATCCTCAGTGGGACCCAAAGGGAAGAGGACTGAAGAACTTCTTTCCTGCCAGGGTGATGGAGCTCTGGAACAGGCTGCTCAGGGAGGTTGTGGAGCCTCTTCTGGAGATATTCAAGACCCACCTGGATGCTTTTCTGCTCCACCTGGGACCCTGCTTTAGCAGAGGGTTGGTCTCAATGATCTCCACAGGTCCCGTCCAACCCCCACAGTTCAGTGTTTCTGCCAAAGGCAGCCATGGAGGCATCGCAGGCACAGAACATTTTGCTCAGGACAAGCACCATGTTAGCCAAGATGGAGCAGGTCCTACAGCCCCACAGCTCTAAGAAGAGCTGGGAGAAATCCTGCAGGGCAAACAAATCCCTTTGAGCTGCCCAAGGAATGTGGGGCACAAAGAGCTGACTGCTGCAGTAAAACTACTCTGGTGCCACGATATGAGAACAAGACCCCAACAGAGCTTAGGGACAAAGAGGGATGCAAATGGAAGCATTTGGCTGGGGCTGAGAGCGGCACTGGGAGGCGACAAGAGGAGCTCGGAGGGTAAAGAACCAGGTGAAATCACACCAGGGAGGACTTTCCCCTCCGGCTGCTGCGTCCTGGAGCCATAATGGCCATCAAAACTGCTTCTTCCACACCGAGCTCACCCCACAAAGCACAGAGCTGTAGCCTCACCAGGAGTACCCAGGGATTCCTCTCATCCCCAGCCCCAAAACTTAATGGGAAACATGAACGATTGGCAAAATAAAAAGAAAAAAAAAAGAAAGAGAGAGAGACTCACTCAAATTGAGAGGTCCTTCCTCATCTGCCTGTGGCCACTGCGCCTTTGGGGAGCTCTGCAGAGGGCTGAGCGACAGCTTCGAGCTCTTCTCCTCAGGGTTTTTTGGAGAGGGGGACCCAGAGAGCACGGGGGGCACCTTCTTGAGGATGGGGGATCCAGGCTGCGAGAGGCTCTTGGAGAATCCCGGCGGGGATTTGATGGCTTTGTTGATGGGGCCATCCAGCGAGCGCTCACCGCCTTTGCCGAGCGCCAGCAGCGCGGGACGCGGGGAACCGGCGATGCCGTCCTTGGGAGAGGCAGATTTTTTGCCGAGGGTGGGAGAAACCATGGGGTGCCCATCGGGTTTGCCCTTCTGCTTCATCAGTTCGTAGAGCAAATCGATGGGGGCCCCGCTGCTCTCCGACTCGGCCACGCCGAGCTGCCGCAGGTGGGAGCGCGCGTGGCTGGAGAGCCCTTTGCGGGTTTCGAAGCAGGCGCCGCACACCTCGCACGTCGTCAGGTTCTGGGCTGAAATCGGAGGAGAGAAACAAACAGAGAGCGAATCAGGACGTGGAACGGGAAGCTCGTCAGTTTCACAGCCCATCCCCGGAGGCGCCCACCCACTGCAGGCTCTGAGGATCCTTCTGACCCAACTCCTCTATCGTATTCTGGTTCTGTGGTCTGCAAGGACCCTTCCAACCCAACCATTCTATCATCCTGTGGTTCTGTGGTTTTCAGAATGGTAGAATGGTTGGGTTGGAAGGGTCCTTGAAGACCACAGAACGGTAGATTGGTTGGCTTGGAAGGGTCCTTGAAGACCACAGAACCACAGAATG